ATGTCATTGTTGGGGGCTTGGGCTATTTGGAGAATGCCAACGTGGGCTCCATCTTGGGCTGAGGGGTTGGGGAGAAGCAGAGTGGAACTGGATTTTGTGTGGGTTCATCTTCAAAACAGCATCCCAGGACTGCTCTTTATAGGATTTGAGAACGAGAAGAGTGGAAGCTGGGACCAAGCCCAGCCAACTGGGTTTGGTCCACTGATGTCCTGAGATCTGGAAGATAAAGAATTTCAATCTGACTTACCAGGCTTTAAGACATGAGCGACCTTGAGCTGTTCTCAACACACCCAAGTGATTTCAAAAGTGAAAAATACATTCTCTTTCTGAAAGAAATCCAGGAGGCAGGGAGTTGGGGCTAGAGGGCTGCTTCGAGCAGAGATTCAGTTACCTACAAGCCCTGCCTAGAGTGTCTTTCCCAAAAGTGGTGAGAGGCAGTGACATTGGTCTCCTTAGATCATCCTGCGTTGTTGTTTGTCTTGTTGTTGTTCAGTCGCTAAGTTGTGTCAGCTCTTTTCGACCCTGTGGACTATAGCTCGCCAGGCTCCTTTGTCCTCCACTATCTCCCGGAGTTTGCTCAGATTCATGTTCATTGAGTCAGTGATGCTATCTAACCATTTCATCCTTTGCTGTCCCCTTCTCCTTTTGCCTTCCTCCGTTCCCTTCCTTTTTAAGGGAGGCAGAGTTCTGTATCAGAACTATTTGAATTCTTGATTTTGCTTCTAAATCTGGGATCTTGAGAAAGTTAGTTAACCTCTCTGAGCCTCAGTTTCACTGATTGTAGAATGGGGATTTAAATAGCTGCTTCTATGAAAACATAATAAGGCAGAGGATATGCAAAGCTGGTCTCATCAGTGACAGACATATCAATAATAATGATTGTTAATAAAATTTTTAATGAAGGACAATTAATAGGACTGGGGTGGGGAGCACTCCAGCAGTGGCTGGACTGGCATTGTGTATGCTATCTCTTGTTTGAGTGACCTCTTGGGTGGAGGTCCCTTACCAGCTGTTCTTTGTGCCCTAGGCTCTCTCTGGTGCAGCATACAAAACTTTGTTGAACTGGAAGTTTTATAACTTGAAAGGAGTGGTCTTTATGGTGGCCTGCTTCTCAATCCTGAAAAATGGAGATTCTGTAGACTCTAGACTGGCTGAATGCCAACCATGTAGATCCCAAAGCTCTCCTCTTGGGTATCCCCAAGATACACTTGAAGCCCAAATTCCCTGAAGCTACAATGTACCTCCCATCCTCCTCCCTCCTTCTTTTTCTTCTTTCACTGAGCAACATGTTCCCTGCCCCTTCCCCCCAATAAATCATTGTAACACGTCAAACAGAACACAGCAAAGCTTCAGGATTTGAAAACAGTAGTCCCAGGAGGAGAAGGGGGCAACAGAGGATGAGATGGTTGGATGGCATCACCAACTCAATAGACATGAATTTGAGCAAGCTCCAGGAGACAATGAAGGACAGGGAAGATTGGTGTGTAATAGTCCGTGGGGGTCACAAAGAGTCAGACTTGACTTAGCAACTAGAAACAAGGCTTTATTCATTAGCTTTATTTCCCCATTGCTTCTGCAAGGACCTCTTGAACAATCCTGAAGTTCTATGAAACCCACCCTAAATCATCAATTTAGTTTACCCATTTCTCATACAGAGGGTAAGGTGAAACTAACTCTGAAAGGAATTTGTCCAAGTCTAGATAAGACATGCAAATCATGTCCCACTGTTCAGTTCAGTAATAGATGCTATGAGTTTCCAGGAGGACCAGCAGATACTTTCAACCACGTCACCCAAACTCAAGACTCGGAGGTTCCGGTTCAGTTACTGTGTATTACAGCTTCAGATATCTAAAGGGAACACACTGTTTGTTTAAGACTGTTGTTTTTAGGCAAAAATATATGTGACCCATATTTGGAATCAGAACATTAGTTGCAATCTGTGCTTGGAGGCAGACATGTTTGTTTATTCTACGGGTTTTTAAAGTGCCAACTCCCCAGCAGCGAATTACTTAATGACTCAAACACAAACCCCAAACTCCAAACTGGCTCAGGAGAGGTGGCGATTACGGAAAATTCTACTTCATCTAGCCCAAAGAACTGACCACCCGTGAGCTGGAAAACAGACCTCAAAGCAGGAAAGAAACAGAAGTGTCCAAAGAAGAAATGGAAAACACAGCCCAGAAAAAGCTGACCCTCAAGAAACGTCGGGTGAGCAGAGTTGGGGGTAGATTTCCTGATGGTTTCTCAAGGCTGCCGGGGTCCTGCTTTCTGGGTGAGAATGTGATTGAAGACAAGCATTGTCTATTTTACAAAGTCCCAGAGAATTTGGATCCCAGATGTGTTAGATGATGGTCTTAGATCTGGGGTTGCAAAGTCCACGTCTACCCAGACCGGGCAGGAAATGTAAATGACCAAGTGAGCTGAGTGTAAGATGATACAAGACAGCTGACACTCAGTACTGGGGGGCAGTGGGGAGATGGGGGACAGACCTCAATTAAAGAGAGCAGCTGCTGACCCCTAGCCACTGGTCGCCATGTGGAAATGTGGGTCCAGTGTTGACAGTTGTTCTGAGGTGTTAAAAGAATCACCAATCCTTGATTTTCATGAGCAATCTGCTTTCAAAAAGATTGTCATTCAATGCACAGTTTTAAAGTAGTCTGAGGGCTTTCCCCTCTTTCTCATTAATAGGCCCACTAATGATGGCCATGGACTCCCAGTTGTGGCCCTCCTTTTAAGACCCTTGGAGTAGTAGAGGGTGCTTAATTCTACCCCTTCATTCTACTGGTGTGAAAGATGGACCCCGGGTTCATCTTAAGTCACACACAACAGTGTCTGTGACAGAGCTGGGATGAGGGCCAGTCCTGAGTTCTACCTTTCTTTCTTTCTCGATACAGACCCCAGACCAGTGACAGTTTTCCAGAACTGAACAGCTATATGTGCTGAGTAAGGACATACTAAGTTTCCTGCTTTCCATGGAGAAAAGCAAATGCTACCCTAGCCCTTAATTAAGCATGTTATCATTGGTGACAATGATAGTAAATATCAGAAGGAGTGCTTTGAGCAGCAAATAACAGAAAATTCTGAGTCAAATCGACTTAAACATTCACCAAATTCTTATCTTTCATACCTGGGAAGTCAGAGGAAGGGCAGGCCCCAGGTCCAGTGAGATCCATGATATAACCAGGAATATAAGTGCTTTCTGTCTTTCTGCTCTGCATGATTCCTCCTCCTCCTCCTTCTTCTCTCTCATTCTGAACCTCCTCCTCTTGGTTACAACAAGGCTGCCAATAGCAAGTGAGTCTATGTGGGTCATTGTCCCATCTGGGAAGAGAGAATGAAAAAAACCTTGAAACCTTCCCCCAGGTATGGGCTATAGGTTATTCCTTTTCATCTACTGGCGCCAGATGTCCCAGTCCTAAACCAATACCAGTTACTCAGGGTAAATTGTGTGCTGATTGGCTGACCTGTGCAGTCTATTCCAGGAGCAGAGACTGAACCTTGTGGGGGAAGGCTTTACATGTGTGTGTGGTCACCTTCCTGTCCGCCCAGAAACCTTGACTCTTCTTGGGAACCAGTGAACCAGCTTATGAATCTTCACAATATCCTCAAGGTGGGCTGGACTTAGGCTTTTCCACAAAATTCCTGTTTTCCTAGCAAATCTAGTTTTTGTTGTTTTTTTTTTTTTTTTAATATTTCTTTGGCTACACCAGGTCTTTAATTGTGCCACTTGGATCTTCCATCTTAGTTGTGGCATGTGGTACCTATTTCCCTGACCAGGGATTGAACCCAGACCCCTGTATTGGGATTTTGGAATCTTAGCTGCTAGACCACCAGGGAAGTCCCTCAAATCTAGTTTAAAGTGGAACTTCTCAACCTTCAATTGCACTCAGAACCCTCAATGGATCTGATAAAAATGGACATTCCCAGTCCATACCTGGAAAAGTCTGATTCAGGAGGTCAAGGAATCTGCATATTTCACAAACTGTCCAGGTGATTCTGATTTGGGTGGTCAAGTATTGTATTTTAGGGAAAGATGTGTGTGTGTGTGTGTTAGTCACTCAGTCGTGTCCGACTCTTTGTGGCCCCATGGACTGTAGCCCGCCAGGTTCCTCCGTCCATGGGATTCTCCAGGCAAGAATACTGGAGTGCGTTGCCATTTCCTACTCCAGGGGATCTTCCCGACCCAGGGATTGAACCTGGGTCTCTCTGCATTGTAGGCAAACTCTTTACCATCTGAACCACCAGGGAAACCCCTTAGGGGAAGTTACTCAAGGCTATAAAACCTGGTTGTCCCATAGCTCAAGAAAATTCGAGGCCACCAGCCATCAGGGAAATGCTGAGAGTTTTAAGCTTTTGTGCCATTTATTATGATGGCACAATAGAACTCTCTTTTTCCTAATTACCTTTGAATTCTTAGAAGAGAAAGTTTCATCTGAGTTTCCAGTTACTGTTTTCTTCTGGGGTGCATTGAAGGAATTTTTGGACAAGAGTGAGGAAGCACTGAAGGAGACAGAAATGTCATTTGTTCCCTCGGCTTCTGCCCACATCCCAAATTATCCTTGGCACATGGGTCACAGGATACTGGATGGAGCGTTGTTCTGATTTAATCAAACTGTGTGTGGAAGTTTAGCTACTGTGTGCTTTAGGTTTTATTTAAATAAAGTTGAATCCCAAGTGAGAAACTATTTCCTTTTAATGCTCATTTAATCATTCTGCTAACTCAAGAAAGTTTAGTTCTAGCACTTAACTCCTGCCTATAACGTGTTATATCCCTTTTGGCCAAAGAGAGAGGCGAGCTTGGGTTCAGAGGCTTGAAATATAATATCACCGTAATTATATTAACTTTAATATAATTAAAAGCATCTAGCTATCATTTAATTATATTGTTTTGCTTTCATCATCTGTTGGACAGGATACGTGCTAGATAATGCTGACCTAAAAAAAAAATCCCAGTGGCCTAAGACAACAGTCTTGTTTGATACACTAACTGTCTCTCATAGATCTCAGGGGGTGTTCTGTTCACTGGAATTACTCAGAACCAGGCTGATGGAGTCACCACCATCTCCAACATGGTCAGTTTTCAATGGCAGCGAGCAAGAGAATTTTTGAATTTTCTCACATTGGCTGTTAAATATAGTGGCCAGGAGAAGACACATGGACTTCCGTTCACAGCGCATTGGCCAGAACTAGTCACTTGGCTCCAGTGTAATCCCAGGGGCTCAGGAAGTGAGAAGCTTCCTGTGACCGGGAGCAAGGAGATGGAGATATTCGGTCAAGAGCACAGATGTTCGGCACACACGGTGACTTGCTCTGCCTCCCAGCCAGGGCTCTGACGCCCTTGTCTTCTTAAAGCTTCTGAGCAGAGGCACTTTGCCTTGGGACGTGTGAACATGCAGAGAAGAGTTCGTTGCAGACCCATTTACCTTCCCCAGTCACTGTGGCTCGGATTGACTCGCCGTGAACACTCAGCCAGGTGTGTGGGTTTCAAGAAAAGTATGCTGAGTTCTAGTCTTGGCTTCTGTCGGCCACCCAGCTGACACTTTGATCAGGCTGGTGGGTGGTATCATTTGGCTGGCAGCCTGGCCAGAATGCCACTCCCTGGGCAAACCTGACTTTCTGGAAAGAACCTGCACTTGACCATGAGGCAAGAGCAAAGCACGCAGTGGTGAGGCGCCCTGGAAATTTCCTGCCCTCCAAGAACCACGAGTCAAAGGAGCCTGATGCTGATTAATTACAAAAAGCGCCATCAGGGCAGCAGCGTCGGCCACCATGACTTGACCTCCTACTATGCTCTGAGCACCGCCATCAGTCTTCTGTCTAGATGAGCTCATTTAATTTTCACAACAGCCTTGAAAGGGGAGCATGGTTTCAAGAAGTTTCCTCTACTTTACCTGATTTGACACAGTTCATTGGAGGGAATAGCCATGGCCAAATGTAAAACTCACGGTTCTTATTACTAAGAAACATGTGTAATTGGTGCTCCGGACTTCTATCCTATTTCTGATTCTCTAACCCATCTCCTCATTCAAGGGAAAGCTTAAGGATTTAATATTTGACTGCTTTTGCCATATCACCTGAAAGATAATGTCTCCTATGCTGGTACTAAACCCCCAATTTGAGATGATGGAACTGGGGCGCAAAGAAGTCAAGTTATAGAGAAGCTCAGAGTGGTAGAGCTGAGATCTTTCTCCTTCAATCTTTTATTTTTTTTTAACAGTCCCTTTTCTTAAAAAGAATTTTGGCTGCACTGAGTCTTTGTTGTGGTGCCCAGGCTTTCTCAAGCTGTGGCACAAGAATTTAGTTGCCCTGCCGCTTGTGGGATCTTAGTTCCCCGACCAGGGATTGAACCCATAGCCCCTACATTGTAGGTGGATTCTTTACTGTGGGACCACCAGGGAAGTCCCTCAACTTTTAATTTCAAGTTCAGACTTGCACAGAAGTTTCAAAAAAAATCCCTGTATACACTTTACCTACTGCCCCCTATATTAAAATTTCATCACATTTGCTTTACTCTCTGCCCCTCTTTTTAAATCATCTGAGATTCAGTTGCAGACCTGATGCTGTTTTGCTTCTAAATACTTCAATGTTTATTTCCTAAAAATAAGGATGGTTTCTTACATAATCATAGCACAGCTATTAAAATCAGGGAATTGATGTTGATATAGACACATTATTATCTAGTCTATCAACTTTGTTTATATTTTACGGGTTGACAGATGGTCTCAATAATGTCCTTTGTAGCAAAATGATAAGAAAGAAGAAAAAGGCGAGGGAGGGAAGGAGGAAAGGAGGGAGGGGGACAGAGAGAGAGAGGCAAAAACAAAGTAAAATAAGAAGAAAGAGAAGAAAAAACATTTGAATTTTTAAAAACTTGCAATGTTTGTCTTTATTTTGTTCTTTATATTTTGAAAGTGAAAACAAATAATATTGATAGAGAGAGAAGGAGGGAGAGACAGAAAAAGAGAGAGGGGGAGAGAGGCAAAAACAAAGAGAAATAAGAAAAAAGAGAAGGAAAAGGGGAAAATTTGATTTTTAAAAGACTTGCAGTTTTTGTCTTCATTTTGTTTTTTATATTTTGAAAATGGAAAGAAACAGTATTGAGAGAGAGACAGGAAGAGAGAAAGAGAGGGCAAAAAGAAAGTAAAATAAGAAAAAAAAGAGAAGAAAAAGGGGGAAAAAAATGGAATCCCTTAGTGTGTTCAGTTGCCTTTTGAGTCTGTTAATCTGGGAGAATCCTCCGACTTTCTTTGTACTTCACGCTGTTGACAGTTTTAGAAAGTACAGGCCAGTTATTTTGTAGAATGTTCGACCATTTGGATGTGTCACGTTAGATTTATGAGATGTACTTTGGACAGGAACTGCATAGAAGTGATGTGTATCTCTCAGTGCGTGGTCGCAGGAGGCATGCGACGTCAAGATTTGTTCTGAGATTGCTGAGGTTAGCTGGGATCATTCAGTGATGGTGGGGTCTATTTTTCCCTTTCTAGTTAGTACCTTGAGGGGGAATACTGAAAAGATAATGAAGATCAGAGCCAGGACTTGTAATCCAGCGGCCTGATTCTGGAACCCACGATCACCTGCTATGCTCACCATTTCCCTACATTCCCTACATCAAGATTTACCAGACACTGTGCTAAGTAAGTAAATGTGCTATTTCTTTGAACTCTCACAATAATTTCCAGAGCCTGTCTCTCACCCTCAGCCCTTCATCCACATTATACAACACATTCAGGACCCAGATGAAACAATCATCTCTCTCACTAGAAGAATTCTGAAGATGTTCATAGCAGCACCATTTACAACAGTCAAGGCATGGAAACAACCCAAGTGTCCATCAGTAGATGAATGAATAGAAAGTGTTAGTAGCTTACTAACGAGTCTATTGACTTTGTTTATATTTCCCCAGTTGACAGATTGTCTCAATAATGTCCTTTATAGCAAAATGATAAGAAAGGAGAAAGAGTCAAGGGAGGGGAGGAGTGGGGAGAGAGAGAGAAAGACTGAGTCATGTCCAACTCTTTGAGATCCCATTGACCATATCCCACCAAGATCTGTCCATGGAATTCTCCAGGCAAGAGTACTGGAGTGGCTTGCCATTTCCTTCTCCAAGGGGTCTTCCCAACCCAGGGATTGAGCCCGGGTCTCCCACATTGCAGGAGGATTCTTTACTGCCTGAGCCACCGGGGAAGCCTCTAATGGATAAAGACGTGGTAGATATACTCACAATGGAAGGCCACTCAGCCATAAAAAAGAACACATTTTTGGCATTTTCAGTGACATGAATGGACTTGGAAGGCATTATGCTGAGTGAAATAAGTTAGATAGAGAAAGACAAACACTGTATGAGATCATTTATATGTGGAATCTAATAAATGCAACAAACTAGGGACTCTAACAAAAAAGAAGCAGAGTCACAGATAAAGAGAACAAACCAGCGGGGAGAGGGGGCGAGGGGCAACAGAAGGGTGAGGAAGTGGGAGGGATGAACTACTGGGTTTTAGACAAGCTCAAGGGTGTATTGTACAACATGGGGAGTAGAGCCAATATTTTGTAATAACTGTACATGGAAAGTAACTTTAAAAATACTATAAAAATGAAAAAAAGAGAATTCTGAGAAAGTTGAATGTCAGCTTCATGATCATAAGACCCAAACTGAAAAAAAAAAAAAAAAAGAATCCCACAGGACTTCCTAGGCGGCCCAGTGGTTAAGACTGTGCTTGCAGTGCAGGGAGCATGAATCCAAGCCCTGGCTGGGGAGTTAATATCCCACATGCCATGTGGCCGAAAAAAAAAGACCCAAACTGGAAGCTGAAAGGGCTCTCATAGATTCCCTAGAAGTATTAACCAAACAAAACCCCTGCCAGAGAAATGAACTAATAGGGGAAAATCCATGTGCGTGTGACTCAGAAAGAGCCTGGGTTGACTGTAGGAATGGCTTTTTATGAGATTTAATATTCCCCTCACTGGAGACACATTACTATCAAATAATAAACAGCAGAGTCTATGGTGTTGATCTTTAAAGTAAATCCTATTGCTATTAGCTTATCTACCCAACTATTAGAAGTAATAAAATAATAAACTTTATGACACAGACACTTAGCTCAATTCAATCCCCCCTTCTAACTGCACTTTTCTCCTATGACTGTTGGTTTTTCCAGCAATTTCCTGCTTATCACCAAACTATCTAGAACTTGTTTCTATGTTTGGCTGATCATTTTCACTTGCCCTGGGATGCTTTTATACTCCTTTCTCTCCCTCCCTGTTTCTCTCCCTCCCTCTAAGTCTCCCTCTTTTTCTTTAAACTGAACTTTATCATGTCTCTTTACTTCAATCTGAGTTGAACTTTCTCAACCTTTTGCTTCAGCAGGGAAGAATGCCTCTTATTATCAGGTTCAAGATCACCTGTCTCTTGTGGTCCAGAGTGAGCTTGCAAAAAAGAAAGGTCGGGGAGCACCGCATATTACTTGGGGGTAGGAGAAGGGAGACCCAGTACTCATTCAGAGTTCCTCTGGTCTGTAATCTCTGCAAGGGCTGGCAATGTCAGGTGAAAAGTTTGGGGCAGGGGCTCCCCTGGTGGCTCAGTCGTAAAGAATCCGTCTGCCAATGCAGGAGACATGGGTTTGATCCCTGGTCCAGGAAGATCCCACATGCTGCAGAGCAACTAAGTCCATGCGCCACAACTATTGAACCTGCCTTCTAGAGCCTGAGAGCTGCAACTACTGAAGCCCTCTGAAGCCCATGATCTGCAACAAGAGAAGCCACGGAAAGGAGAAGCCCTCATACTGCAACAAAGAGCAGTCTTGGTTCACTGCAACTAGGGAAAAACCCAAGCAGCAACAAAACCCAGCACAGCCAGAAATAAAAATGTGTGCATGCTAAGTTGGGTCCAACTTGTTTGCAACCCCATGGACTGTAGCCCGCTAGGCTCCTCGGTCCATGGAATTTTCCAGGCAAGAATACTGGAGTCGGTTGCTGTTTCCTCCTCCAGGACATCTTTCCAACCCCAGGGGTCGAATCTGTGTCTCTTGCACTGGTGAAAAAAAAAAAAAAAAAGTTTGGGGCAGATGAGAAACTACAACATACAGAAGAGTAGTTTCTTCTATGTGGGTAAGCTCCATGCAGGATGAAGGCATAGGCAACATATGCATAGTCAAGGGACATCCTGAGTGTCTATCCCCTAAGATGTTGTCTTTTAAATATTATTTACTTATTTATTATGTATGTGGCTGCATCAGGTTTTAGTTGTGACATGTGGCATCTTCACGGAAGTGCACAGACTCTGGTTGTGGCTTGCAGGCTCAGTAGTGGCAGAACTCAGGGTAATTGCAGTACA